ACCAGATCCTTTTCTTCTAGTAGACTTTTAACCATTATGTCTATTTGTCTCTTATTGTTAAAATGGTGGCGTTTGGTCTTAACCCTTAAATTCTCCAGGTCCTTAAGGACCATACTTTTGAAGATATTCACATGTGAATGAGCAGGGGGATTAAAAAGGGATGCATTCCTCAAATTGGAGGCCAGGAGGGTGCAGGGAGGTCAGGAGGGTATGGTATTGGGGGATTAGGAGGACATAGTACTGGGTGGTCAGAAAGGTACAGAAGATCTTTTCTTATGCAGTGGCACAGCAAAGTTGCCATGACAGAGTTGCATGTTCTGGCGCTGATCCCCGCCAACCCTCCTCTCACATAATTTCACCTGAAAGCACCTTGGATGGATCGGAGGGGAGGACTGGTGTGGAAATGCACACTTTACTCAGTGGAAGAAATTGTAGTGCTTGGACAAAATCCCAAACCTGCCCGAGTTATTTTGGAGGCTTTCCCCGCTGCACAGCCACATGTATGCAAGAGGCGGGAGCTGTCTCTGCAGCCTACAATTGGCTGAGTGTGTGCCTGCACACTCTACAGCTGTGGGTGAAAACACAGGGTCAGCAACATGGGGACGTGTTCGCAATCTGTCACCTGCCGTCAATGGGTAAATGGCGATCAACGGGTTACCAACCATCACCTTAGATAATATTTAAATAATGTCCATTGCAAGAGAAAAAGACCTGCATTGTCTCTTCCTCTTATCTTATGGCCTAATCAAGCTGCTCAAATTCTGTTCAGCCACTGAATATTTGTAGCTAATATCTCTCAAATAATACACTTATTGCAGGATAAAACCTGTCTCATCCCCTCTCATATATTGTGGCCCAACCAAGCTGCTTACATATTATCCAGTAATGGAACAATATTTGTTACTCAAATAACACTCAAATGCTGCCTTTCTCAAGTTTTTATCCTGGAGGAACTCTTAAAAAAGTTTCAGGTCTCAGGAAACTATTTAATATGAAACCTGTGCTTCACAGTATTCATTTATGTGGACATTCAGTGGCAAAAAATACTTTTGCATTGGTGTCAGTGGGAAAATAATGCTCTTCACATCGACATCACTGAGATGTGTATATCTCTTGTAGTGAATGAGAGTAGTGTATGTACCTGAAACTACTATCAGCAGGTCTCAGTGACATCAATGTAAATGTACCCTTCACTAATCCCACTGGCACCAATGTAAACTAATACTGAATGTAAACTACTCCTACTGACACCTAAATTAGGAACATACTACTGAGGTTGTCAGTGGGAATATTAGTAGTTTTAGAGCAAAAAAAAAAAAAAACAGAGCATTTGCTGGAAGTTTGTATACCACCTCTTCCTTGAACGCCTCTATCTTTGCCAGCTCAAGCCACACTCCTCTTCCCAGGTAACAAAGCCCCTCCTCCATCTGCTTTGTCACATTTAGTGACAATACCCTGGGGACCTCTACTAGCACCTTAGAGTTCCACAGAACACCAGTTGGAAACTCTGCTCCAAGATCTATTTCATGGCAAAAAAACCTGTCTCTCCTTCTTACATTGTGACCTCAGCAAGCTGCTTACATACTGCCAAGTACTGAACGGTATTTGTCTCTCACAAAATACGATTTTTATTGTGAGGTAATCCTGCCTTGTCTCTACCTATTATTTTGCATCCTAACCAAGTCACTGAATAATGATTATGTCTATTGTCTCTCAGACAATAAACTCACATTTGCTACCTATTGAGGTGCCTGTGTAATGTCCTGATACTTGAAGTCTATATTTAATATTTTTGGATTAATTGAGGATACAGGAATAAGAGGGGGATTGGGGAACATAATGTTGTGGTTTTAAAGTGTTATTTTGCACTCTATTGTAACACTGAATCAAACTTTCAAGATAATGTAGTGTGGTATTGTGATAAAAGTTAAAAAAAAAAAAAAAATTCTACATTCAATATATATAATATCAGAATGCTATATTGCTGATGCTGTCCCTTGAAAATTGTGTTCTTTAATGCCACATTTCCCAAGCATGTTAGTTAAATGATTGGTGTTTGTTTATTGCATCCTTGAAGCTGAATTAAAATGACTCTCTCCCTGCTATATAGTATTTTTAAGAGATTATTTTGCTTTCTTAAATGTCCCCTATGCCAGTGCCAAGCTCCATGTGACTTTTTTTGACAACAGATTGCCCATTAGCCTTAATATGGACAGAATTTAGTATCAAGTTTTCCCCCTATAGGTTTAAGTGGAGTTTGCAACTGAGTTTTGATTTTGCATGTAGCACTACCCCCATAGGAGTTGCAATAGTTTTGGGTCCCCCTATAGTCCTGCACAATCAGGCAACACGTATTGTCACATCCACTTGCATTTAGGACCAGTCCTTGAGGCTGTTTTGAAGTTTTATTAGGGGATTTAGAACATGGATGGAGTAAGGGGTGTATGTGATGCCCAAGGGAACTGAAAAACCGAGGACAACTTCCTGAATTATGTACAAGTCTTTACACAAAAATCCTCTTTGTGGAGAGCTAGCCAGTGTCTCCTGTTGTACCACCCCAGACCCCAGATATTCCTCTAGCTGCCAGAAGGAATCCCTGAGCAAGGGATCCAGTGCCTGTCACTTCAAGAGATAAGACAGTCCCGGGTAGTTGCTACTCTGGTTTCCCACCAGAGTGCTCCTTCCCCTATCTGGTCCAGGAGGTGCAGGTCCTTCTCCTGTGTTGCTGATGGGTCGGTGGCTGCTACAGGCATTTTAGCTGGGCTGCTCCTTCCCTGCCTCACAGGTGGTCCTCTCTAAGGGGGCCGGTGAAGTCCCAAGCTTTCCTCCTTCCAAGGTCCTCTGCCTGTTGGTGTGCCCCTCTCCATCTGGGCCCCCACACAGGCTCCTGCTTCCAGCCTCACATCCTCCTCAACTCTTCTCCAACAACTCCTCTTACTGAGCAGGCTTGGTTACTGTTAAAGGCTGTCCTAGCCCCTTTCCAAGCCTCCTGTTGGGGATTGGCCAGGATCCCCTAAGAGCACAGACCAGCCATCAGATTCACCAACTGCTTCTAGATCTTGCTCCAAAGTCCTAGAGCAGGGGGGAAATTCCAGAGGGCTGGTCTGCCCTCTCAGCTCTGACCACAATTTGACCCCTGATAGCTATCACACCCAGGCTGCTACTCAGCCCTAAATAACAATTGGAGTCTATCAACCCCTAGCTATCTAGGAGGGCGCTACATGCAGAGTTCAACCGGGGTTGAACAAACTCCCTGTAAACTGATTTCAGGCAGATTCGCTTATCCCTAGTTCTTATTGTGGCATGTGTCTCTGTTAGGGAGATTCGCTATTTGTCCTGGTGACCACTGTCACTAGGATTAAAAAGCCCTTGAGTTTTTACCAAAATAGGAATAGAGGGGAAATCTTGCAATGGAGATTCCTCTTGAAGGGCAGTTGTTTGAAAGGGCAATCTCTTCACTTTGAAGAGATTTCCTCTCATTTTCTTTTGTCTATACAATTGAGCAAGTTAAGGGAAATCTTCTTACAAAACAAATGCAAAAAAAAAAAAACAAAAAACTGACAGGTTTGCTACTATATACAGGATGAAAAAATTATATTTTAACAGATGTCTGTGACTCTCTGACCACTTTGGCTACCAATAAAAAAAAAAATGGGCCACATACCAGGGAGAAGGGGATAGAGTAGGGATTATAGTCCCTCACCTGTACCTTTCCAACATTTACTGCTGCTCAGGTTAGGTCACTTAAATGAGCCTGTGGTTACTTCAAACATCTAAACATCTTGAGTAGTAGCATTATTATTTGTTTTCAGTTCCCTTGCACATGATTGGATATTTTAAATAAACACACATTCCTGTCACTATACTTTGCCTCACTCTGCACCTAGTCAGGATCTATATATCAGAGTGTCCGTTTGTATGTTAATCCTGAAGCAAAAATAATTTCACTCCTAGTAAAAAAAAGAAAAACAGCATGGAGAATTGTAGCCTTATTTCTTTATAACATGTTTGTAATATTTAAAGCTAGCCATACTCTGTCTAGTAGAATTTCAATCATGCGCACATTTTGAAAAATTGTTCCTCAGAGCATTTGGCCTTCCCATCATTGAGTCATGTCAATATCATTTGGACCTGCTACGTCAATGGGATCCCAGGTGCAGTAAAGTAATACTAAACCCAGGATCCTGCATTCACTATACCTGGTCTCCCACAGTACACAGAACATGGAAATGCAATTATTTTAGTAAATATAAACTGCTAAATACCTTTTCTCATCAGCAGTTAGAGCAGTCTTGTGACTTCAGCAGAGCACTGGTTAAAGCTTGTAGGAGGAGTTTTCTTTTTGCTCTAGGAGGATGTGAAACCTCTGACCTCTGTCTGGGCAGTGCTGATTGGCCCTGTGCTGATCACATGCACCCTCCCAAGAAAAAAAAAAAACCTCTCTAGCAATACACACCAAACTGAGCATGTGGATGTGACCACGGGTTCAGTCTGTATCATGTGGTCATTTCAACAAGAGGAGGGCAGAGAAAAAAGGATCAAATAGCCTTTTTACACAATGCAGAGGATTAACCCCTTAGGTTCCACAGTGAGTATAACAAGCACGCTTTACTACATATACAGACGGATTTTACTGTTGTGGGTTTAGTAACACTTTAAATAATTTTCCTTTGTGCCTAGAATATAAATTACAATATGTACAATTTTTTTCTGAACAAAAAACACATACACTGTTAGAATTCCATTCGTTTGAGAAACGTTTCCTTCCTTCTCCTTCAAATTTCCTTGTCTCTACAGCTAATGACCGTCAATTTGACCCCAGTAACCAGAAGAAATAGGAACAAACATTTCAAATATGACATTCTACTAGTCTTTGGCAAGTTTTACTCTTTCATTTCCTCCATAGTGATCTTCTTAGATCGTTCTCATTCATTCTCAACAGAGGGCAGGGTCGTGCTGTGATTTCTGCATCTACAGAGATGACGCAGACTGATGTTACTACAGAGACAGGATATATCAACATCTTCCCAGCTGCAACCTTAGTGAGCAAAGTGTCTATTGCTGTAAGCTCAAGAAAATATCAGCTCAAAAGTTTACGCGGCTTGACTGTCAGATATCTAAATAAAGGTAAGAATTTAGAAGTAGCAAGTCCTTATTTTCTTTCTTTCTTTTTTGAAACCAGTGCTCATCCAGTATGTTGCTTGATAGAAATGAACTCCTAACAATAGATTTTTTTTTTTATTTAAAGTGTACCTATAGTCAGAAGTTTTCTTTTTTTTTAGTGCTGAATAGAGTAGGGAAGGATTAGGGCTCCTTTAAGATTTTTTACATTTATTTTATTCTGTACACATGCAATAAACAGTGGTGCACAGAAGTAATGAGGTTATGAACAGCTGTACAAATATAAAATGTTTGCACACATTAGACAATGACACCCGGGCATGTTGTAATTTGGGCTTCCTTCCATGGTTAATAGTGAATCAGCAGATTCTTGCGGCTGCAATCACATCTGCCTGTACAAAACAAAGACTGGCTGAGAGAAGCTGATGCTGATCACATGTATCTGCACAAGCAGTGGTTACCTGCAGTTATCTGAGTCTGGAGGTATCTATCTTTGTCCAGTAGTGATCCTCCATCCCTAACCACAGATAACCACTGCATGTGCATTTACTAAGGACAGTCAGAGCAGCTGATCGTAAACACCAGTGATTTGTGCCACCAGAATTCACAGACGGGCCTTATCTGCCCATGTGAATGAGGCCTTATACAGCAGCACAAAGAAAGGTAGTAGTACAAAAAAGAATGTAGCAGTACATATTGAAGGACAGAAATGATGAAAGATGTTCTGATATGAGTGACTGTGACAGAGCCAACCGGGACAAGGTCTTTTGGAGGAGACTGCAGGCTAGCCTCTTGCCTACTGATTATGGGCCCTGGCGTTTGAGGGGGCTCTATTCTTTGATAAGCGTGTGCCTGGGGGACCTTTTGGAGTAGTTTTACTGTGGATTCAAGTCCATGTCTCCCCAAAACACACAGACTCTGAGAACTGGAGGAACAGGATACAAATTTTGGGTATCTGTTTCCCAAACCTGCATTGACTGCTTTAACCCCCTCTTAGACTCAGAGACTCTAAGCAGATGTTAATATAATCCACTCAAAACAACCTGATGCTGATGTGTCTTGCTGTAACCTGTTTATTGAGGTACAATGTGTTTACTGTTGTCTTTGTCCCATTGTTAATTGAGTTAATTGAATCACCTATTGTTTTTGTCTGTTGGCTAGTCCTCCTGGAGGTTCCTACATGGTGGGATTAGTCCTGTGTCAACTTGACCTCATTACCTAATCAGTGTGGGATGTTTATCCCAATGTGTAATGTTTGTTTTTATTGTTCATGTGGGGACTGCCCCTATTCCTGAAGTGCATAAAAACCTGTATTTATGTTTAATAAAGAGTTCCAGTTGAACTGCATACTAGCACATTATGAAAGACTTACCTTTGAAACGAAGCCCTCCAGCAGAACGCTGTCACGGCTCCCCAGGGCTTCCATCTTCACCCGGTCTTCCTTCCGGGTTCGCAAGTTATGGCCGGCTGACTGGCCTAGTCGTGATGATGTCACTCCTGTGCATGCGCACGGGAGTCCCAGGCCAAGGCACAGTGCTCTGAAGGAACATTACGGGTATGCCGTTCCTTCAGAGTACATACACTTGCTATCGAAAAGGGCTAATATCTCCTAAATGGTTCATGTTTAGGAGATATTAATTTTACCTAAAGGTAAGCTTTATTATAAGCCTACCTGTAGGTAAAATTATTAAAGAAGTGTTTACTACCACTTTAAACTAAACATTAAAGTGGGGAAAGTGTATGCCTTCAACTGTCGAATGATTGTTGATGCCAGTTGCAGCATTTCAGATACAATTGACCATCTGGGATTTCCCACATGAAGCCTGTAGAGTTTAGAGAGAATGGGTCAAAAATGTTTACTAAGCGGTAGCTCTGTGGTGGAAACACCTTTCTAATAAGCGAGCTCAGAGGAGAATAGCTAGATGTGTTCAATTTAGAAGAAAAATCCACTCAACCTGCAAAAACAAGCACTCTCCACTTTTTAATACCAGGTTCAAGGGGCCACTTTTAACCACTTGCTTTTTATGAAGTTTTATTTATGGAGGAGTAACCAGCAATGAAGCTCTATTTTTCTAATCTATTTTTTGCATACATCTGTATGCTATACTCATATTCATGATAGCACCCAATAGCATAGCTAGCATAGATAGCATTCCTGTCTGCACCTGGACTGCCTAGGTGGAAATATGCCAGCAATTGTGTTGAACAAGCTCAGCTACCTATGTGTAAGGGCCCTTAGATGGCACCTTATTAGCACTGCTCACCGTGCAGCTATTGGATGGAGAACCCCACTGACTGGGAGCTTAGTTGGCCCTCATTATTCCATTATCCAATAGGCTTCCTCTCTATAAGCCACTGAGGCATCCTATTGGACAGAAGGACAAGGGGGTGTGCCAAAATTCAGTACTTACTGCTAATAGGGCTCTGCAGACTGCACAGTGGGTTAGCATTACTGAAATTTTTACAGTGTTGCAGTGAGAGAGACTCCCTATTCAAACATTAAAGTGCACCTTAAACATAAATGGCTCCTCACCAGCCCAACAGACTTCAGGAAGCCAGATGTCAATATGCACATAAGTGAGAAAAATCCAAACAGTTGTGTTGCTGTGCAAAGAGAGAGACTCCATAGAAATTTAAATTAATAACCATCAAATATGAATACAGTGGATATAAAAAGTCTACACACCCCTGTTAAAATGTCAGGTTTCTGTGATGTAAAAAAATGAGAGAAAGATAAATAATTTCAGAACTTTTTCCACCTTTAATGTAACCTATAAACTATACAACTCAGTTGAACAACAAACTGAAATCTTTTAGGTGGAGGGAAGTAAAACTTAAAACGAAACTAATATTGTTGCATAAGTGTGCACACCCTTAAACTAATACTTTGTTGAAGCACCTTTTGATTTGATTCCAGCACTCAGTCTTTTTGGGTATGAGTCTATCAGCATGTCACATCTTGACTTGGCAATATTTGCCCACTCTTCCTTGCAAAAACACTCCAAATCTGTCAGATTGCGAGGGCATCTCCTGTGCACAGCCCTCTTCAGATAACCCCACAGATGTTCAATCGGATTCAGATCTGGGCTCTGGCTGGGCCATTCCAAAACCTTAATCTTCTAATGAAGCCATTCCTTTGTTGATTTGGATGTATGCTTTGGGTTGTTGTCATGCTGAAAGATGAAGTTCCTCTTCATGTTCAGCTTTCTAGCAGAAGCCTGAAGATTTTGGGCCAATATTGACTGGTATTTGGAACTGTTCTTAATTCCCTCTACCTTGACTAAGGCCCCAGTTCCAGCTGAAGAAAAACAGCCCCAAAGCATAATGCTGCCACCACCATGTTTCACTGTGGGTATAGTGTTGATGCACAGTGTTGTTTTTGCACCAAACATATCTTTTGGAATTATGGCCAAAAAGTTCAACCTTGGTTTCATCAGACCATAACACATTTTCCCACATGCTTTTGGGATACTTCAGATGTGGTTTTGCAAACTTTATCCAGGCAGGGATGTTATTCTTCGAAAGAAAAGACTTCCATCTTGCCACTCTACCCCATAGCCCAGACATAGGAAGAATATGGGAGAATGTTGGCACATGTACCACACAGCCAGTACTTGCCAGATATTCCTTCAGCTCCATTAATGTTGCTGTAGGCCTCTTGGCAGCCTCCCAGACCAGTTTTCTTCTTTTCATCAATTTTGGAGGGACGTCCAGTTCTTGGTAATATCATTGTTGCGCCATATTTTCCCCACTTGATGATGACTGTCTTCACTGTGTTCCATGGCCTTGGAATGCCTTGGAAATTCTTTTGTACCCTTCTCCTGACTGATACCTTTTACCAATGAAATCCCTCTAATGCTTTGGAAGCTCTCTGCGGACCATGGCCTTTGGTGTATGATGAGACTAAGAAAATGTCAGGATGTGACTAAGAAAATGTCAGGAAAGACCTACAAGAACAGCGGAACTTTATTTGGGGTTAATCAGAGGCACTTTAAATGATGGAAGGTGTGTACTGACTCCTATTTATACAACCACATTATTTTAGTTCTTTAGGTTTCTCCCCCCCCCCCTTTGTCTCATTTATTACATCGCAGAAACCTGACATTTTAACAGGTGTGTGTAGACTTTTTATATCCACTGTAATTACTCATCAGATGACAGGACCCCAGATGATCAAAGATCAAATCAGTAGATGTCATGGGACGTCATTTTCTTGGGAAGCAATATTTTACCCCCAATCATCTGTAAAAGTTTACACTCAGATATATTGTATCAGTTTAAAGAAAAATGGTGTCTCAAGCACGCATTAAACGCTTACACCCTTAAGGAATTTTGCCTACGATTGCATGTATGTAAGATGATAAGTTAGTGAGAAAACGCCCACAAACCACTTTCATTCCAGTTACCAAAATTTTGTGTGGAAGTGCACTTTGAGGCTAGACCATCCTCTATATTCTGTTTTATATATTTAAGTGGTTAGTGGATATAAATCCATATGTTGTAACTCATTTACCTTTCTATATACAGTGGGGCAAAAAAGTATTTAGTCAGCCACCAATTGTGCAAGTTCTTCCACTTAAAAAGATGAGAGAGGCCTGTAATTGGCATCATAGGTAGACCTCAACTATGAGAGACAAAATGAGAAAAGAAATCCAGACAATCACATTGGCTGATTTGGAAAGAATTTATTTGCAAATTATGGTGGAAAATAAGTATTTGGTCACGTACAAACAAGCAAGATTTCTGGCTCTCACAGACCTGTACCTTCTTCTTTAAGAGGCTCCTCTGTCCTGCACTCATTACCTGTATCAATGGCACCTGTTTGAACTTGTTATCAGTATAAAAGACACCTGTCCACAACCTCAAACAGTCACACTCCAAACTCCACTATGGTGAAGACCAAAGAGCTGTCGAAGGACACCAGAAAAAAAATTGTAGACCTGCACCAGGCTGGGAAGACTGAATCTGCAATAGACAAGCAGCTTGGTGTGAACAAATCAACTGTG